GTGATAAAAAACCTGTTATTTTGATGTTGTGAGGACCCCTTTTCAGGTCCCCACAAAGATCTGTGAATGGAGTCAAAAAATTAAAAATGCCAAAAGTTTATTTTGTTTGGTTACTTGTGGTTAAAGTCAGGCCTGGGTAGCGGTTTAAGTTGTCATAGTCAGGAACAGGGTTATGCCCATAAAAATGAATGGAGAGTCAAACACTGACAGGAATATATAAACTGTGCGTGTTTGAAATGGTGCCTGCGGTTCATTAACACAATCCGTTCCAGGAAAGTGGTCGTGAACCAATTTGTACGCGAACCAAGGCATTTTTCCCCATAAAAAAGCATTGAAAAACACAATATAGTGTGGCGACGGACGGACCAAGGCATCGCAGAAGCAGAGAGAGAGACATGGAGACTTGCTTGCCGGGGAAATCACGCTCTTTATTAACAGTCCTTAACCCCTGTATTATTGTTGTTGTTAATGTTAATGCTTGCATTTCCCCATTGTTAGCGTGTGTAAATCTTCCACTGTGTGTGCATCTTGCAGTTTGGCGTCTGACAACCTTATGTTTCCTGTCTGTGTTTTTAGGTTTGGTGCTCATTTGTTGCCTGTTGTGGTCATTCTACACGCAGTGCTACACTAGTATAAAAAAGGAATTTGGTTGAGGAATCTGTTCGTCAACCAAATTTTGTACACGAACCAATGCATTTTTTTCAGGAAATTTTTGGTCGCGAACCAAGTTGTTCGTAGACCACAGCGTTCGTGAACCGCAGGCACCACTGTAGTTTATTAATACTCTTGTTGTCTACCCCATCTTTGCTCTCCATGACACACAGACAGGTGAGCGCAAGCTTGGCAGTGAAGGGCAGCCACCTGTAGCAGTGCCCATGGAGCTGGGGGTAAAGGACCTTGCTAAAAGGCCCACAGATGTGACTATTCTTCCAAGGCTGGGCTCGAACCAGAAACCTTCCAATCACAGGCACAGAAGCTTAGCCCCTGTTTGTGTGTATCTGTGTGTGTGTCTGCCTGTGTATGTGTGTGTGTAGGTGTCTGTGTGTGTGTGTGTGTGTCTGTGTGTGCGGCCTCACCTCTAGCATGGCACACCATTCCATCCTGTGCTCCTCTCCATTCCAGAAGAACACCTGCCTGTCGTGGCCACAAGTGAGGAAGATGTTCTGGCTGGGGTGCGTAGTCAGTCCCCACATCTCATCCATATGGCCCTGCAAGCCATACACACCTTAACATAGCCAAGCCGACAGATATGACCAAGGAGACAGCAGCTGTCTGACAGTAAGCTACCTGAACTATGGCCACAAAACCGTGTGAGAAAGTCCCTCTAAGAATGGCATTTCGGGTTGTACCAACTAACAGCTCTTCCCCACCTACATGAACAATGGTACGGACTGCTCCATACTTCTCTGGGATCTGAAACATAGTGGGACATTAGGCGTGACAGAGGAGAGAAGAGGATGGAACAGGAAGCTACAATACAGTAAATATGGCCTACTGATTGGCTTACCACATTCATGCATTAGCAGTGTCTAGCAGTATTATACATCACACACGTACAAACTTTGGCAGTTTACTTGTGTTACCTGCACAGACACTGCCATACTCATGACTGCAGTATACTCATGATAGCTGCACAAACACTGTCATACTCATAGCAGCAGTATACTCATGGTACCTACACAGACACTGTCATACTCATGGCTACAATATACTTGTGATACCTGCACAGACACTGTTATACTTATGGCTGCAGTATACTCATGATAGCTGCACAAATACTGACATACTCATGGCTGCAGTATACTCATGATACCTGCACAAACACTGTCATACTCATGGCTGAGCAGTGGCTTCTTCTTCACCTCTCACCTCACATTCTCTCTCGGGCACCAGGTCCACAGTCCAGCAAACAACCCTTCTGTCTTTGCCTCCCCCACTGAGCAGGGTGCCCCCCTGCAGCACACACAGGGTGAACACGCTCCCCTCATGGGCCTGCGTCTGTCTCACGATCTGATAGGTCTCTGTTTGGGAGGGGGACACTGACTATGTCACTTTGTGAGGGAGGAAGTGACACGGCGAGCCTGACATCAAGTAACAAGAGCATCAAGACAGTGGGGTTCGCTGTGTTCCCCTGACCCTATTACTCATCAGTGACACTTGAAATTAAAAAAAAAAACACGGGCCTGTATTACAACGCTGGATTTTTGTGGCAGCAAGAAAACTTGTCAAATTTAAGGTAGTCTGGGCTAAATGTAAGTGACCGAAGATAAAAGCCATAATTTGGGAACTACTGTCAAGGTCACAACAGCACATCCCCTTGTAGAACACGAACTGGCAACATACTGGTTATAAACCAGCTTGTGCTACCATTGCTGATCTTCTGGCCCAGTTTGCAATCTCCAGTCCTACGATTGTTATCTTTAGTGACTAGGCCATAGTGAAGGAACCACAACATCAAGCTCTGCTGCTGAGCAGTGATTGGGACTTGAATGGATGCTTACCTTTGGCTCCCTTTCCCAAGGTTTTTACATCAGCAGCTAATTTGCACCACGTCAGGATGCTGCCCTCCGAGTCTCCGGTCAGGACATCTCCCGTCAGGCTGAACACAAAGCACTGGATGAACTTGGGCTTCTTGTACTTCTGTGTGGAGAGCAGACACACACATATCACCACAGCTCCTTCCAAACTCCAGTCAGAGACCATAACAGAGTCAGAAAATTTCATTATCCCCAAAGAAGGTGTTTGCGATTACAGACTGCACCGTAAACAAGCACACAAAAGACAGAAACAGACAATACACAGTACCACATGTACAACAATTTCTGTACAATATACAGAAATATACAATAACATATAGATATGGTAATAAACAGATGGTGAGTATGATGATAAGCACAAAAATATTGAAGATATGTCAATAGACTGATATAGATTAAAATAGCTGTACAGTCTAATGGCCACTAGGAGGAATGATTTGCTGAATTCATTCATTCATTGTACACAACATGGTTTGAATTTCACTGTTTTGTAAGATGTGTAATCCATATACATCAAGTCCCTCATTGCTTTTGTGAAACTCCTTTAAAAACACTTTGCACCAAATTTAATTAAATTTTCATCCATTTTTACTGAAGCAATTCCATGTATCTCAGTCAATAGGGATAACAGAGTCTCTCCTTGGACTAGAACCTCAAGCTTAAAAATTCTTGTTCATGACTTGCTGATTTACTGCCGCATTTTGGACCCAAACATCATTTTCACATTCAGTTGAAGCACCAAACCACGGTATGATCCTGCGCTCTCCCCCACTCACTCCGAAGATGCCCTGTTTCTTGGTCAGGCCCCCGGTGCTCATGGTCCAGAAGTAGACATGAGACTTCCCACAGGTGATGATGTTGCTGCTGTCACTGGGGCTGAACTCCACCGCAAACACAGCCTCATTGGTGCTCTGGCAAGCAGGCAGACAGCAGAGGTCACAGAGATCACCAGGCATTGCTAGATACACATAAGGGCACATCTGCATGCATGAGGACACATTTGCAGAGCCAGAAGATTAACGCAGCCCCCAAATCCAGAGGACAAGCACAGTTAGGCCTTTGTAATGGGTACAATCTCAGATACCACAGACTGTTGTTAGCATATATCACCAATATGATTGATGGGACCAGCTGCCAAGGATATGACACCATTCTTGTCTAGTACTGCCCTGTGTGCTAACAGGTTTAAACCTGTGTTCTCAGTAATCCAGCAGAAGCTGATCAAACTGCTTCCTCAAAGCATCCAACTGCTGCTGCATAACGGGGATAAATGAACCATAATCTGTGCTGCATACAGCATAGCAAGGGTGCGCAAAGGTGCAGGGTCATAGTAAAAAGATTTATGACATGACTTGCCTACCTACTGTGCAAATATGGTTTAAATTTGTTTTATCTCGGTGACAACCCAGTCTAAATTGCTCTGATGGATGCAGAACAACTGGCAACAAGGGCTCAATGCGGATATCTACAAGGTACCTTTTAGTTCTTCTTGGTCAAATATGGGAGCAGACTGGTGCCTTTTTTGACAGGTACTTGGAGCTGGTTTGCTAAATGCACCCCCCCGGCTCAGCACTAGGTGCTGTGTGGAATGTTCACCCAGGGCCTCTGGATGCAGCCTCACCTTGATCTCTGTTTGCTTGGTCCCCTTCAGGCAATCCCACACTGTCAGCATGTGCTCATTGGAGTCATCGATGGCAGCCAGAAACACTCCCCCGTCCTTCAGGCGTGAAAGACAGACAGGAGCAAATGGATATTTACAGTGCAGCATGTAACAGACAATGTTCATTTAGTACAGTGTGACAGGTAAGAAGCTGTGTTATTCTTTTATGCAGTGTAGCATGTAACAGATAGTGCTCGTTTAGTACAGTGTGACAGGGAAGAGGCTATGTCATTCTTTTACACAGTGTGGCATATAACAGACTGTGCTCATTTAGTACAGGGTGATGGGTAAGAGGCTGTGTCATTCTTTTATGCAGTGTAGCATGTAACAGACTGTGCTCATTTAGTACAGTTTGATGGGTAAGAGGCTGTGTCATTGTTTTATGCAGTGTATCACGTAACAGACTGTGCTCATTTAGTACAGTGTGATCAGTAAGAGGATCTGTTATTCTTTGACTTGGTTTGGCTTGCTTGAATAAGGATTCTGACTTGACTTGATTTGGATTATTCAAAGATACATAACTTGAGATTCAAAATCTGATGCTCGGGACTTGTGACTGACTTGTGGCTTGTATGTATGTGACTTAGTGCCATGTCTGCTGTGCACTCACTGCGTGTGAGAAGGCCACAGAGCTGACTCCCCTCTCAAAGCTGCCCAGTCCGATCTCTTGCAGTGTGACAAGGGTGGCTGAATCCCAGATGTGCACGAAGGGTAGAAGGGGCTGATATGCAGAAAAGCACATAAAGACTCACAGACACGGACACATTATAAATGGGGTGCTTTACTGATTGGCCTGTCAATAAGAGCCAGGCCACAAAAGGCAGACTTGGAACTTTGAGGTGTAGATTTGTAAATTAGAGAAATGCACTTATATATGAACAAATGGACGACTTCTGATTATCCTGTTGACAGTATGTGGCTATTGTTAGTGATGTGTCTCAAAATGTGTTGAGAGCTAACCAAGTTTGTGGTTTGCTTGGATGGTTTTAATAGAACATTTTCTATTAGACTATATTTTCTGACGAACGCAGAGAAGTTTTTTGTGTTCCCGTACTTTACCATCCTTGTCCACTCCGGCCATCTGACCTGACGCCACACGCACCTGGTCTGGATGAATAGCCAGACTGGAGGAAAGACAGTAAAATGCGCATTCACTTGGCTAAATTGTGCACAGACCTTAATGATCTTTGTTCTTAATATGTTGTACCTGCTCAGCTGATGTGAGTCATTTGGAAGTAATGAAGCATAAATTAGAAAATTAAAGGATATAAACAAAACACTTTAGTCAAGCTCCAGTTACAGCTGTCTAAAAAATTCAGCCACTGTTTCTTTAAGCAGCTATACCCAATGGCAGTGTCAGTCAAACCATTAGGCATTCATCTTCTGAGGGGGGGCTGATTAGCATGCCAATTTCACTTTGTCTCGTGCCAGGGAGCACTGGCAGTGAATTGCCCAGGCACCACATGGGCTTTGACCAGTCCCGCTTACTGGTTTCACATCCCCCAGATTACCATGGTGACCACAATGGGGCGGGGCAGGCAGGGTACTGACCAGCGCACGCAGTCGGTATGTCTGCAGTAGTGTCGCTGGCGGTGGCTGTGGATGTGGTGCAGCACCACCACACATGCTGTGAAGTAAACAGCCTCCCCCGACGGCAGCATGTACAGGTTGGCTCGGCAATCCCGGCCCCGGTAACCATAGCTACGCAAAGTGTGTCAAGATTTAAGCAATAACTCAGGCACAGATTGTACACAAAATAAGTAAATTCTGCTAAGTGACTATGTTCAGATGCTGAAGATTGAACCATAATCCTTAAACCAACGCTCAGTATATGTTGAAATAAGGCATTTTGATTGCTGCCATTCATAAAGCAGTTTTAACCAGTATAAATGACATGCACAAATTGCAGCAGATTTAAGGTTAATGGGCTGGACATGCTAGATTTCAGGCCTTAATGCACACATATGGATCAGAATCAGGAAGACACGTGAGCCAGCCTGCTCCACTCAGTCTCTTTAGTGTCTGTTCCCTAAAGCTCTCAGGCACTGTGCTAAGCAGGCGCTCCCCAGCCCCTGGGGTCAGTCAGCACTGCATGGGCAAAGGATACACCCAGTCCAGCTCCAGCCGCTCCATGGGGGGCTCCATGCGCAGCTCCTCATAGTTTTGGAAGTTGGATGGCACGTACATGGTGATTGGCCGTCCTCGGATGAACATTTTTACTGATTGGCCTGTCAATAAGAGCCAGGCCACAGTTTAAACAAAAGGCAGACTTGGAACTTTGAGATGCTCTGTTTTACTTCTGTTCGCTTGATACAATTATTAAAGTAAGTATTTTTTAAAAAGTAATAGAAGTACAGTAAGACAACACCACAGTTAATCAAACTACACACTATTTGCATTGTGGACAGTCACGGCATTTCATAGGACGATTTGAACCCTGAAATCATAGTTCACCAGTGAGTGGTGCTTACCCTGGCTGTATGTCCCTCTTCTTGAAGTTCCTGTAAAACAAACACAAACTGTATTAAACAGTTTTGTCCTTACCAAAGGCTGATGTTCTTAAACTCTTTCATAAGAAGCAAATAGTAAAATTTTAAGCCAAGTGGGAAGTTGTTTACCTGTATTTAACTGTTGTTTCCATACTGTAATAAGACTCCAATGAGTCTTTTATTTAAATCGACATCCCAAGATAAAGGGGTAAGTGATCAAGCTCCCAGATGAGGAAGAGAAGGGGATCTACTCAAAGCGATGCTGGGCTATACATACTACCTTATATAATGACTTATACTTAATTCATTTTTCATTCATCCCGACAACCACGTCTAGCATTTCAGAAATGGTCGGAAAACTCTGCATTCCTTCCACCATTTGAGTCTCATCTAACAGAGCTGACTCACCATGCCACCGTGTCATAGTCTGCTCAAAATGTGAAACACAGACTGCAGAGAATGCAGAATGAGGGATCCAGTGTCACTCCCGGCTCACAGAAGACCCCGGCATCTTCCATCACCTGAGCGCTGGCTACTTCCGCTAAATGTGCACATGGCTCAGCAGGACGAGGACACCGACGGGCTCCAGGCGCTGATGCCGAAATTATGGTGTCAAAATGACCTCTGACTACTGGCTGGCATCTTGCTCTGGGGCCATGTTATGAACCTAAACTAATGTCACTTAGTAAGATTAGGGTTTTGGGTCTCTAACAGTGCATTGTAATTAATACTTCAGGCCCAGTTAAGTCATTATTAATGCTGTAAGCACAGGATCTGGACGAGGGTGCTGTGAGCTCAGGGTGACCTACGCACATAAACACCAGGAAGCCCCCAAAGTCACTTACCTGCACCATAAATGTGCTCTTTGCTCCGGCTGGGGGAAAGCAAAGTAAATCAAGAGTCAGGAAAGTACATCAAGCAAAGTGCACAGAGCAGACGACAGACAGAATGGGCTGGAGACACAAAGCCATGTTTAAACATCATCTGAAATCAAAAAAGTCCAGCAGAGCTGAAGTGCTGAAGTTTCATTTGATCTCTGTCAGTCATTATCTGCTCTCCCTTAGCTGCTGGTACCTATGTTATCCTCATCTGTTTGGAAATGCACAAAGTAGACAAGCGTGATACCAGCAGTAATCAGGGCCCAGTTGATCAGAAGTAATCTAATTGGATTTTGCCTAATGGATTGGATAAAATCTTGAAAATGAGTCAAAAATAAATGAGTGCTTCACTAGAAGGAAACTTAGCACACTGTTGGTAATTGTCACAGTCCAGTCTTAAAGCAATACTTTCAAGAAGCAGACAATTCACATACTGTGAGAAAAATATTTGCAAATAAATTTTAATGAGCTAGTAAATCATTTTGCAATTGGGTGTCAGGGCTCTGGGAAGCCCCAATATAACCATACATTAGAAAACAACCCAGACCACAACTATCCTGCCGTTTTCTGCACGCGTCACCAGGTAAATTTAAAGGCCTTTTAGGATAGAAAGAATCTATTAAAATCATTCTACACTGCAATCTTAGCCAGCATTGGCAGTCCTTACAAATGCAGTGCTAGGCAGAGGTGTGGTCAGGGCAGGACAGGGGGTTATTTATAGGCTGTGATAGGGTCCAGATCCCCATAGATATCACATGGGCACTTCACTGAGACATATATGACACCTGAAAATTCACACTCATAACCAGGGCTCTGCCCATATTTTCAAGGTCAAAATGCTTTGCCAAAAAAAGGATGAAAATGAGACTGGGAAAAAAATGTTTTTGGGAAACAGCGCAAAACCTTAACTAGACAGCCGGTGTGCAGTCTTGGCCCTCACCCTTCTAGACTGTTGGAGTGGCTCAGCAGGTTGTTGGACGACACGACCTTCCTGGCCAGTTTCTGCCTGGGCTTCTCGGGGGCGTCCTTCACCAGCCGCTCTGTATTCCGGCGCATCCTGACCGCGGCACAGACAGCTGATTAGCAGTGGCGTATGACAGAGTGATGCCTGCTGCTTCCTCCCCAAAGGTAGCAGGAAATCAGCAAACAGCTACAATTGCACTATGGAGTACAGCTTTGTGATTTCCTGCATAGAGAGAGTATGTTCATTTAAGCATATAACTCAGGTGTGGCCAATCCATTGATCGTCAGTGGTGCCAAGTCAGTCGCTTAATGATAAATGGATAATTTCATTGGTGGTCAATCATGATAAGATTAATATTACTGAAGATGTGCACACATACATACACACAGACACACACACACACACAGACACATTTGTAATTATATCTTTGTGGGGACTCTCCATTTATTTCTATGAGGAGAACTCTAATCCTGACATGATGACTTTAACCCCTACCCAGCCCTAATCATAACCATAAGTAACTAAAGAAAATGCGAGACTTTTGGCATTTTTAGTTTTTTGAATGCATTCACAGATATTCACAGATATCTGAAATATAGTCCCCACAATGTGAGAATAAAAGGTTTTTATCACATTGCGGGGTATATTTGGTCCCCACAATGTAATATAAACCTAATCAATACACACATACACAAAATCCAATGTGTCGATGCTACTCGAACTGTGCGATCACATGCACATTTACCTTTCATTTAATTAACAGCTACTAGGAATGATAATGCCAGCCAGAATAAGTCACCCCTGTCATCTCTGGACCACCTTGCAACCCCCGCACTGTTGTTTAGGGGGTAGGGGGCTGAAAAATGTGGGAACCCATGCTGCAGAGCACTGGTGGTGTAAAATCTTGTTAAAAAACATTACCAAATGTCTCCAGGGGGGGGCATTAAAGAGTCTTTGCTGTATTACAGCATAGGTCTGCATGCTGACCTCAATGTGTGTGAAATAGCTTATTCGCACACAAAAACGCATACAGAGGGCTGGCCTCATAATCTCAGATAAAACCAATGCATACCAAATAAATATAATCATATCATTCAAATGCCAAAAGAAAGTTCTGAGCGGCCCCCAAATAAAAGTTCTGTTAATTTGACTTCCCATTTTGCTATTCTGAGGCAGTATACTTATGCTTAGAAAAGCAGTTTAAGTGCATCAAAACAGACTGCAGAAAACTGCAGTTCATTTAGGGTGGACTGCCGGAACTCATATATCACACTGCACACATCTTATCAAGTGGGAGACATATAGGATTAACAATTCAACAGGAAGAATTGCAGGTCATAAAGAACGTTTTCCTTTGTCTATATCTGAGATCTGGACCCTGTAGTTGCAGGGTATAGATGAGAGGAGGTAAATAAGTACGGGGTGAGAATTCTGGTGCTAAAAAGGATAAGGGTTGACTGGACTGGACTCTGGGCTTGCCCAGCCCTTATCAGGACCCTAAGCAATATTTGATTAACCTAGTTTGACATCTTCCTTCCCATTCTGACAGACTGATCATATGGGATGCCCCCTGGTGGCAACTGTGCCCTATGCAGCTGCTTACTTCACTTATGCCTTGGGCATGGCCTGGCTGGAGGTACAGGATGGGTTTCAGGACTACAAGTGGAAAAAACAAGAATGAAAATTCCAATGAGCAAGACCTACAGAAGTTTCTTCTGGGTGTCTGCAGGAGAGGAGACAGCAATAACCCGGTTACTTGGTGTCTGGTCCTTGGGCACAGCGGGGGAACTGAGATCCATGGTTGTGGACAGGGGGCTCTGCTCACTGAGACACTCATCAGCAGAGCTGAGGTCCTGCTCAGGCCAGTTCTGGCAGAGTGCCGTCACGCAGCTCTCATGAATGGGCTCCTCCACGACAGCTGTCCAGGTGCTGCAGGCTGCATCCCCACCACCTTGGTCCTCCCTCTCACTGTCACTGAAGGCATCCTCCAGTGAGAGGCTCTGCACCGCCCGTGTGCGTGCCAGCAGCACTCTCTCGGAGGGCTCCGTCTGCGTGGCTCTGTCTGCAGCAGCAGGCCTCGGCCGAGAGCCCTGAGGGCAGATGGTGGCCCCAGAGCCATCCATGTCCCCCTCAGGAGCACTGATCAGCCGTGCCGTCAGGAGAAGACACAGGAGAAAAAAATCACACAGCACCAGTTTGAAACTCTGCCGTCTTTATGCGTTTCCTCCTTCACTGAGGAATATTCTTAAGAAAAGGACTATTATTGCCATGAAATCTTAATACAATCACATCTTCCAGGACAGGGTAAAAGTCATACATACTGTATTTTAGGGAAACAGGCAGTACAGTTAAAAAAAAATAAAAAAACATATATTACATAAACTGCGATGGGCTGGCCCCCCATCCAGGGTTGTTCCCTGCCTCGTGCCCATTGCTTCCAGGATAGGCTCCGGACCCCCCGCGACCCAGTAGGATAAGCGGGTTGGACAATGGATGGATGGATATTACATAAAAAGCACAGACACCTAGAGTTCCTTGTTTCTGAACACATGATGGAGCTCATCTAAAAAAATTAGCAGAACTAAAGATCAAGAATTGCAAAACATGGGTTGAAGCAACATGAACAAGAGTGTAACAAGAGGGCAGGAGGCTGCAATGCGCAGCATTTACCAACTGCATTCTTCATTTCCCAAAAGGCTCACGACCTTGGCAAGGAAGATGAGAAAGGACGGCCAATCCACGCAAACATTAAGCCTCAAGGATGAGACCCAAGGCTGTGTTTGCCTGCTGTTCTTCTTGTTACCCTCTGCAGGATTTTCACTCTTATCTCACTACTAAAAAAGAGTCAGCTATGCTTCCAGAAGAAGGACAATATACCAAGTAAAAGGTGAGGGGTAGGTTGCTTATTGCTTTGGGTTTTGGCTCGTTACTAAACAATTGTAGTTTTGAATTTCATGTATGTGTTTGACACACTGCACTGCTATCTTACTAAGACCCTAATGCACACACAAACACACACAGATAACATTAAATATGCAGAAATTAATCACCTGAATTTCATAATTCAGTTTAGAATTCAGCTTGTCATTGTATGTTGTATAAATCCTGCTCATTTACAGCAAATAATGCATTAAGCTGACGGCTGGGGAAGCCTGAAGCAATATTATGCTGCCTGGTTAAATAAGAAGTGTGGAAATTTCCAGCTTTAAGATCAGTAGGCCAGCTACTGTAGGTAAATTTCAAGTTTGATTAACTGAACATAAAAATAACTAAAACATTTTAACATTCCTCTTCAAAAGAGGACAAATTATGCAGTTTCTCAGCCATACAGGACACAGAAAACAGGACCTTTCTTTAATCTCCTTAATGTTTGATATGTCTTCTTTGTTCTTCAATTTGTGATGGGCAGACAAGGTAGATCATAAGTAAAAGACTTTAACCCCTAAGACAAGCACTTTGATTAAATTACAATTTTCATTTCTGCATGCAAAATACATACACCCCAAACAGGAAGAAGGTACTAAAATTAAATGACCTACATTTATAATATTAGAAATATTAGATTACAAAGTAGGCTATTTATTAAAATAGTAGTAGAGAAGTGGTAGAGGTATCCAAGGACTAAAATGTGCAGTATTATCTCTGAAAATTAGTATCTGATGACTTTATATATCCAACAGAAGTTCATTCATTTTTAAAGTGGAATAACTTTTACCCATTGTATATCCCTGAGTAAAGTAAATCTGCATCTAATTAAAAGGGGATGAAAAAATGTGTGTGAGTGTGTGTGTATATTATATAATTATATATATACATATATAGATAGATAGATAGATCGATAGATAGATAGATCGATAGATAGATAGATGCAGATTTCTTTGCTGTGACGCAAAGAAAAGGGAAGCTCCTCTTTTTCAGCCAGGGTTCCATAACAGCCGAGATATTCTGCAAAGCTCTGGCTTTTGAGCCCCCCACCCGGGAGACACACAGTCAGACAGTGAGATCATTCCTTAAAGCTGGACAACCTGAACGTTCCGAGAAGCTCCTGACTTTGACGTCTCTGTCTGGGAGTTATGCTGTAGCTGGAGAGTACATTGACGTGGCAGAACTGGCCCAGGGTCTCAGCAGCAGCTGGGTTAACTGGAAAAAAGTAGACATAGACACTTCAGATATTTAAGGCACTTGGTTAACTGATTAGTGGTCCCAATCCTGTGGCTTAGTATTACTCAGCATCTTCATATCATCTGGAAATAGAGCAAATCCAACTCCTACAAGGTGAATTTTTAAGGACAGGACAGTAACAGTAATTAAATAAACCAAATAAAATAAATCAATGTATATTCATATAAAATGAACCTGAGGCAGATTTAGTTTTAATATGATGGTCAGATACTTAGTGCTTAGCGGTTTATAATGCATTTTTTATGTTATGTGCTGGCCCTGTGACCATAGCTGTCACTCAACACACCTGCACTGAGCTCTTGCCAGAGCAGGTGGGTCTGCTGCTCGTGGATGCGCAGTTTGCGCAGAGCGTCTGCCAAAGATGACTTCAGCAGCGTGACCTCATCCTCCTGTGCCCGCAGACGGACCTCCATCAGGGAGAGCTTGTCAGGAAGCTCTGGGCCGCAGCCTCGTGACCTGTCATCTGCGCAAACGGAGAGGGCAGACAATCATGGCTCAGGAACAGCAAATGTTTTTCGATAGATATACTTTTGTATTTCATTTCAGATTTTAGAAAATGGTTTGTGTTCGTCAATGAACACAGCTAGTGCTACTATTTGGTGTAAACATAGAAGTGTTTCATTATTTTACACATTTATAGGCATCCAAGTATTGTACATTACAAAGCTTTGCATTAATAGTGATTGCATTAATGTGTATAGGGCATCAAGTGCCGGGGAGGGGGGGGGAGCGGGGGGGACCAAAACAGCCTAAACATCATCATAATTGGGGTGTGGATTTGATGATATCAGATTGTGAACGATTAAAATGTCTCCACAGTCTGCCTTTACGGTGCAGTTCTATGGCTCATACACCCGCCTAAAGTTGATTTGTCAGCCAAATCCATTTCCACACACCAATAAACCAGTAATAGCAAACAGTAGGTAGTGCTTTGGGTTTCTTCCTCTCCGCCTCCCACACCCTCATCCCACGTGCAACACTATTCCATATTTGGCCACAAAACAGTTAAAGTTTTCATACAGGAGTCGGGGTATCTGTTCTTAAACTGGGATAAAATACAATTACAGGGTTGGCAACTAGTTAAATCACGTCCTCTGCCATGTCACACACATGGAGAGCTCAAAGCAAACCTGAACAAAGCCGGCCTTAATAGAGCCCTGGCCAGACATCCTACTGCTGCTTGTTAAATAGTTTCACTTGGAGTGACAGCAGACAGCCAAGTTACAGCTTATGTCCAAAAACCTGATCCAGATCTGTTAACAATATTACTTAGACCTTCTTCCCTTTCTATTTATCTAAAAGGTTATAAATTAAGATCACAACTGATAAGTACAGAAAATTCTTATTACTCTCTTGTTCTCCTGCATTTCTTCAATATTCCAATTTGTGATTTTTGTTACCATATTTGTTACTATATCTGTTAACTCTGCAAACCTCTGTGACCATTGTAACCGACTGAAGGGACTACTGAAGGAACAAGTAATGAATAACAGAAGTGAAATACTGATCTCTTGATCGATCATCGTTTATGAATAATGATGCAGTGACTATATTTTAACAAATCATGAACAAATATAGTTGCTGCTTGAGATAAAAGACGCATCATGATTCATAAATGATGAACGAACATGAGATTAGTATTTCACTTGTTCCTTCAGTAGGTCACAAAGGTTTTCAGTAGTAATTAGTTATTGTCACGATCGTGGGCGAGCGGTGCAGGTAAGCAGACGATCGGAGCCAGGACTTCAGGAACGAAGGGGATTTATTGGGGTAATGGGACCGGGGAAGCACGATAGACAACATCAATGGTGAGTCTGGCGAAGACAGACTCAGACGAGGACTAAATACACAAGACATGCCACGGAGAACGAGCCACAGGTGAGATCCATCAGGGAAGAACACGAGGCAATGAGGGGGGCATGGCACACATCGGGATCGTACGGAGCAGGACGTGACAGTTATTACTTAGTAATAACTAAGTGCAGTGGTACCTCGGTTCTCGAACTTAATCCGTTCCGGACTCCGGATCGAATCCTAAAAAGTTTGAGTTCTGATCGAATTTTTCCGACAAGAAATAATGGAAAACCAATTAATTAATTAATTGATTCCCGGGCCCCCAAAATTACACCTAAATATGTTTTTTTTTTTTTTAGCATTTAAACACAAAATGAACAGGATATAACAAGAAGAGCATTTTTTTCTTAATGGCTTCCAAAACGATAAAGATCTTATCCCAACATTACCCCTGTCCTGCCCTGATCGTTCGCTCCTTCCGTGTGCCACGCCCCCTCGTTAACCTTGTGTGGGATCCCCATGTGATCAGCTTCTGGTTGTTGTCATTAGTCCTCTGTATTAAGTCTGCGTTTCAGTTTGTTTCCCCAGTCCGGTCATTGGGTGCGTTCGACTTCAAGAGAGTCTAGCTGCAGACACCTGTAGAGTGGAGCTCCACCGGAAATATGTCACCTCCACAGGAAACACGTGATCTTTAAGGACGTAAAGTGGAGCTCCGGTTAGGGTTAGGGTTAAGGTTAAGGTTAGGGTTTATTCGCTGTGACACAGAGTTAAGGCCACGTGTTTCCTGTGGAGGTTACGTATTTCCGGTGGAGCTCCACTCTACAGGCATCTGCAGCTGGACTCTTCTCTTCGACTTGCTTACAGAGCTGGCTTAAAGCAACGCATTCTGAATCGATCCTGACGCAATGCATTACGGTTAGATGCATTGCGACCTCTCACCCGGCTGCACAAACTGGAACCGCCTCCGTGACGACACACCTTTGCTCTTATTGGCTGAAGAGTTTAGTTACACGCATGACGTTTGTATCCCAGCCTTCCCAGGCAGTTCTGATGCGTAATCTGCTCTATTTCTCCCGAATATCACGTAAAGCAGTGAGAACTGGTTTTCAGTTAAGTTACCTGATAAAATAAAGTTTAAATAAATGACATAAATGCTCTAATAGTACACGTAAGTTAGTGGTTTATTTATCGTTAGTTACTGTAATGTTGCGCTGCTTTATTTGGTTAATCGTCCAGTCTGTGAAGAAGGCATTCAAGTAAGAATTGCATTGTAGTATGATTCATTTCCTGGTGCATACAATTTATATTAGGTCAGCATTCACGGTTCGACTTCTGATATTCAGATCAAGTTCTAGGTCAAACTGGTTTGTTCAACTTTCAAGAAATTCGACTTCTAGTGAGTTCGAGAACCGAGGTAGCACTGTATTTGTGCCCCATTATCAGTATTTGTTACCATTATCAGTCATGATGCATTACATAAATATAGATTTTTAGGATTGCAGTTCCAGAAAGCACAATACTGAATGGTACAAATATTTCTGCAGTAACAACATCCCCCCCCCCGCCCCCGATCAAAATTCAGTACCCCTGGAGCAGAGTCCTGGCTCAGCAGTGAAAATATGGGGTTTTGAAAACATCTGGATTCTGTGTCTTCTGTGGCAGCAGCCAGTGTGCAAAGCATGAAGAAGCAGCAGCAGAAGGTCGCAGTGAGGTCGCGGATAGCGTGGGGTTTGGCCCAGAAGGCCGCCCGATAGACTCTCTGTTCATCATGTCGCTGGGATCATCTCCAAAGGAGTCGGGACACAGGCAGCTCAACTTACTGCTTTATATCCAAAACATTAAGACAACATCTGCTGAAATTATTCTTTAGCAAAGCATAGGAAATTCAGTAGAACAGGGTAATCATTGGTACCATAATTTGCTATTGTTGTTCTTTTGTTGCTTTTTTCCACAATACATTTTTATTTGCTTGTAATAATACAGATATGTATAAGATGAGTGTATATTATTGGTCGAGATCCTCCTAGAACCTTCAGATGATGAACTCATGTATGTATCCATAAGGGATGTGCTTTTCAAGTGATTCAATGCAATTTGGAGATTTTGAGCAGCCAGATGAAAGGCAGCCAAACAGCACATTGCATGTGCTTAGGGACCTGAAGAAATATGCTTGATCAATCCACTTAAGCTGAACTGATATCCAACTGTGCCAAACTGAAGCACAATTTACATAAAAATGTCTGCCAAATAAATCATATTAAAATAAAATGCAAACAGCCCCACACTTAAAAAAATGTACATAAACATGATACTTGGACAATTAAAGACTGCCTTTCAAATTTAAGCTATTGAAATTTGAGACAGTATAAGTGGGGGGTGGAGGTTGCAGTATAGAAAGACTTTGGCCTGTAATCAGACAGTAAACATTTGTCTGTGTGGTGTCCACAGAAAAGCCTCTGTTTTGTGCTCAGAACTACATGTCCCAGGGGTTATAAACTCATTTCTGCTCATTTCCTCTTATTGTCATTATGAAACAAAACAGAACAAAACAGGCCCTCTCATCTTCCTTTTTCTGTTGTAACTAATCTCAGCAGACTGCAACAGCTCTGCATGGAGCATGAAGTGAAAGATCATGTAGACGAACGGTGTGTGAGGCTGGCACAATGAGGAAGACAGCTCAGGGTGACCTTAGCACTGGGCTGATCACACAAACGGTACAAGCCACAAGCATTCACATTTCCCATTGACTTTCCATTTTCTCCCATTTTTTATGAAATTGAATATATAAATAAAACCAGCAAAAAACTCACATTATCGGTTTCTAAAATAGATGATGATACCAAGAAAAGTTTTATCTTTACAGACACCTAAGGTCTTACTATTTCAGAAATATCCATCTAGATTACCACCAATGCAAACACCATACAGATACCAAAATCATACAACTAAAATAACCACAAAAGCCTCAGTGAAGACAGACACACACATCTGCTTCACATCAGAGGGACACACACACCCTCATGGAGAACAACATGGGACACTTTCACTGCCTCTCACACTACAGCACAGGCTAGCTGTCACTACACGGCAAGCAAGATCAAAATGGGACAGATGGATACTTACAGGAGGACCTCGATACTTCTTATTCCATGATAATAGTTTACACAGGAGTAGCACCAGATATCCCTGCTCTTATGTGGTGGTACCATTGCTCTGTTTAAGGACCACACACAGACTAGGGCTGGGTGTTATGTACCAATCATCATACCTCGATATTGTTTAGCTCAACGGCGATATACGATATACGTATATCTTGATGTTTTTCCCATGAAGTAATTACAAAAAGACAGTTCCAAGTCAAATCCGAATGTCCCCAACATCACACAGGCACTTTTATTAGCAGACAGCTGTACATGTATGAAAAAACGGTTCAAAAATAAACTACCAGCATATATTATTCTACCAACCAGCTCCTGTTTGCTAGCTCGCCTCGTGCCTGTGTCTGTCCCCATGTTGTCGCTACATGTAGGACTTGTGAGAGAGGGGGAGGGACGGGTTGTGTTCGGACAGGGAGGGGGCAGGGCAGGGTGGAGATTTGCAAAAGACAGACAGGGAGGTGACCTGGCGGCTGTATGAGTATAATTTTAAAGCAGAATAAACTATATTGAC